TCTTAAATTTTTAAAATCTAACTGCAGATTCGTAATCAGCGACTTTTAATATAGTTAAAACCTTGGCATTATTAATTTTCTATGATCGTTTAAGATTAAATTCTTTCTGTGATCAATTTTTCCTGCACCCCTAAACACAAATACACCCCCTGCTTTAAGGGTGCACGCGATCAATTCGGCATAGGGCTCATTCGAAAGGGCACGGTTTAGCCTTTAATTTCTGATATATGCAAAATTTGTACCACGTCAGGGTTCAGCTCTATAATTTTTCGAAAATGGCCAAAAACGCTGTTTTTAGGGGTTTCAACCCCTTTTTTCTCGAAAACGTGACATGATGGGACATTTTTGACCCCGGATTCGTGTTCAGCACGAAAAATCCGTTCAGAAACACCAGGTCCCGTCTTATTCGCAGAAAAAAAGTTGAAATTTGTAGACCAGTGTTATTGTTTGAGGACTAATATACGCACGACCTCATGATCGAATTTCGTACTGCAAGCTTTATTGACTTAAAAAGATCAAATTTATTAAAAACGCATTTTCACTGATTTTTTAAAATAATTTTTTGAATTAATCATATCTTTAAAATTTCAAAGTCAGTTGAAAAAAAAGCCTGACGTCAGAGTGAAAAACTAAAAACGCAGTTTTACTATATTTGGCCCAAAGTTAGTACATCGATTCTTTCGTGTGAATTTTTTTTGTTTTTGTCGCACGGTTTAATTATGTCCAAACTATCTGAATTTGTTTTCCTAATATTATTTCTACAACTTTCTCAATTTTTAACTGATTTTGGACTTTGATAGCTTTCCGAATAGGAAATTTCAATGAAAATCGGGCTTTATAGTGAACTAATTGGAAACGTTTCGTTTTATGGGATTGAGAATAAAACAACCCATTTTTCCTATATTTCACGCACTTCCATACTTTCCCGGCTGTGCGCGGCCACTAAATTTTATCCCGATATATTGGAAGCATAAAGGCTAAAAGGAAACTTTTTTTGCCGGGCGATTGGAAATTCATTTTTAAGAGCCAGTCTATTGTATATATATTTGCAAAATTTGATGGTAAAATATATATGAATACATAATGAAGGGATGCCATAAAAATGTAGGTTTTTTACTCCACCAAGGATCAATGGAGCGTGGAGGTATTACGATGGGAATGGTGGATTGCCGTGGGAACCACTGTATTAGGGCATTCAATCCCGGGATCCCGGTAACTTTACCAGCTCCACGACCCTGAGATTTTTACTGATTTATTTACATACACAAACCGGCAAGTTTTAGAAGACGAGTGAATACAAGTGCATTTGACATGAAAAATTAGAAAAACAGAACACCAAAATTTATATTTAAAGTGGACTTGCTTGGTCTTTTGCAATCGATAGTTCGAGCAAAAATTCAGATACATATCTGAATGAAATTTGGTGCAAGGTATGTTGCTATTGAAAATGGATGAAATCGCATTGTAACCACGCCCATCTCCCATACAACGGTAATTGCCAATTCTGTCATATGTAACAACTGAAGCACAACATGGGCCACCCTGACATAAGTAGTCCCAATTTTTGATTTTGGGATAATGTCCCTCCATATGTAGGGACAAAGAGCCAATTTTTTTTCCTTGGAGTTTTGTCACTTTTTATAAAATGCTATAACACCAATTGCGATAATGTCACGTCTGAGTGTGAAGCATAGTTTGCAGCTCTCAATAAAAACAAAAAAAAACGCATATAAAAACACGCTCAAGAAATGTAAAATAAATTTGCTATCAAAATTTCTCAAATCCGTTAGCACCTCTCAAAACAAGTGCTCGTATATTTATGTCCATACATATTTTTTCAATAAAATTTACAGCAAAGGCAAAATACTTTTTCAATCGACAGAAGTAATGAAAAATATTTTTTGTATTTTTTTTAGAGCTGGAAGCTAAGCTTAAAATGTAGGAAAATACTTGTGCACAAGGGTATATTAATTTTGTTCACATAACGGTTGTTTGTAACAGCCAAAACGAATCGAGATAGATATAGACAAATGTATATATGAATGATCAGGATGAAAAAAGAAATAGATTAAGCCATGTCTGTCTGTCCGTCCGTCTGTCCGTCTAATCCGTCCGTCCGTGTACACGATAACTCAAGCAAAAATTGAGATATCTCAACGAAATTTGGTATGTAGGTTTCCCTTAATCTAAGGTAGGTTGGTATTGAAAATGGGCGAAATCGGACTTTAACCACGCCCACTTCCCATATAATGGTAATTTCCAGAAATACGAAAACTGCGATATTTTAGTAACTACTGAAGATAATTCACTCAAAATTGATATTTACAATAATTTTTAGGCGAAAAATAAGAATATTATAAATTTTTGGAAAATGGCCATAGCCACGCCCACTTATGGTTACATGTGTTTATCTTGGTAACCGCTGCACCAATTTCTTCCAAACTTGGCACAGTTGTTCAATCGGACAATAACCACGCTCACATCCCATATAACGGTAATTTAGAGAAATACAAAACTTCGATAAATCAGTAAATATTGAAGCGAATTTATCCAAAATTGATGCTTGCAACAATTCTTTACCAAGAAATACGTTTATGGTAAAATTTTGGAAAATGGGCGTGGCAGCGCCCACTTATGATCACATATAAGTATATCGGTAACCGTTTTACCAATTTGTACCAAACTCGGTGTGGTTATTGTGCTTGCCACAAAAAAGCAAAACGTTGAAAATTATTGAAAGCGAAATAAAATTGAGGCCGCTTTACATATAACGGTAAATTTCAGAAATGCTTGAAACTTCAATATATCGAAATTGAAGGACGCTAATTTACTCAAAATTGATACACCCCGGCTTACCATCTAGCAGAAGGTTTCGGAAAGGTGAAAAAACATATATTTAATACTTGCGCCGGGTATTTAATGTTCGGCTCCGCCCGAACTTAGACTTTCTTACTTGTTTTTTATATAAACCATTATTTTAATATTTATTGAGTGAAAATTTTGAACAAAAAATCGCGTGATTCGAGTTCGAATTTCTTTACTATTGTTATTTTTAAATATAAAACCAAAAACCTACTAAAACTCATTTAAAAATACCGATAGGAAAAAATCTACCAATTTTGATAAGAAGTGTTTAAAAATAGCAACACTGTAATAATTATAAACTCTAGCCCTCAAAATGATCAAAATGATAGCGAAATGTTTATTTTAGCTACCTTGATTGACAAAGTTTTTTTTTATACTACCTTAATTTTAATCTCTTTATTTTCTTTAATAGTAAAGCTAGCTAAAGTAATGGTAGATCCACCACTATAGGTAATCAACCGCGAATTTACTTAGCTTTTAACTTATAAGGGTACAAAGAAATTTATGTACATACGATTGATATTCAAAAAATCATAAATATGTATATAAAATTACTAAAGGCGGATCTCCATAGCAGGCGTATAACGTATGCGTGCGTTTGACAGAAAAATTGAATATACAAATTTTGATGGCAGCACCTACATAGCAACGCATGAAAATGTATTAAAATTGTATGAATTTTGATTTCTAAGCGTAAATGTCAAACGCACGCATACGGATACGTAGGTATGCTATGGAGGTCCGCCTTAACAAATTAAAAATCGTGAGCAAACACTCCAAATAATTATCAATTAATCATAAAAAGCAAGTTTCCTGATAAAGCACACAAAATAAATTCCTCAGGCCACAAATTTGCCGACAATTTTATCACTAACCAAAGTTCTTTTATAAAACGAGCACATGTGTGTTTAAGAATTTTCGAGTGTGTATTTACAAATGTTTGCAAGCGTACACATGTGTACGCACTTCCAAAGCGTACGCGGATACGTGTGTATGTATGTATGTATATGTACATATCTTTTACCTTAACATAGAAAGACCCTATCTAAAATTTTTGTTTCTTTCTTGCGCCAATTTTTTTTTTTAATAAAGTTCTTGAAATCGCTTTAACAAATCTTTTATTCTAAAAATTAGATCTTGTCATAATATAGTTTTAAAACCCAAAAACGAATATAATACCTCCAGAGGGTAATAATAAACAACACAAATCACTTATATAATAGCGATGTATAAACAAATTTTTTTTTAAATACGGATAATTTTTAAAAATATTTGTTTCAACACATTTTGCAGTATGACGTCGCAATTATGAAATTTATTACAACTCATATTAATTGATTAATCGCACAATCCGCTTTTAAGAGCTCGGCGCTAAAAATAAAATAAAAACCTATAAGGCTAGATCAGCTATTTCCACAATTTCTTCAAAATCACCTATGTATTGTGTCTGAATCATTTATATTTCTGTTGTTGTCATATATTGAGCGATTCAACCTTGAACATACTGTTTGATATTGAAAACGTTTTGGACAGCAGAAACTATCAGCATCCATATAACACTTTATTCGAACTATTGAATTAAGGCTTTCCAACCTCATCCTATTTCGGCAAGGATTATAATGTGAAGGCTTCTTTACTTATATTTCCAAACATTTTATTGCCTGTTGCTATTTTTCCACTCCGTAAACAATTACCCAAAATTCTTCAGAGTCGGATGGAATGTTCCATTGGAAAGTTGAAAGATTTAAATATTCCGTTTCCGCTGCTTTTCTTTCCTTCAAAGTCAAATAGTGAATTGGCAGGTCCCTGAAACTCTTTTAGTATTTAATTGACTAGGTAATCGTTTCAAAAGTTCTTCGATTAGGGTGATTATAAATAATAATTATAATAAACATTTTTGACACTCTTTTAATACGCTTCTTAAGTCAAGTTTATGTAAAATTATCGTGGAAAATTAGTTTTGTATATTTTTGTAATTAGAAAAAAATTGTTTGAAGGGAAAATCTGGACACTCTGTATGGCATGTCTATATTAGGGTAACGATATGTGTATATTAGAGGGCTGCATGAATTCATTCAAAACGGCTTATAAATTATTCATATACAAAACGAATGAATGATTTTGGCTCAACATTTTTTTGTAATTTGAATGAATACCTGTTCTGATATATGTGTCGACACAACAATAGGTTTATTCGCGTATTGATGGTTTTTGATGATCACCTCAAATTCACTAGCTGCTGGGTGAAGTGCTATGGCAATACTAAAATGAATGTAACCGTCAACCGGCTGGGTACAATTGGCTAAGCAGTCAATGTTTTGTGATCTACTGAAGAAAATGCGGTCATATTATAGTTATATATATATGAAATGAACAAGTTTTGAGTTTAACATATTGACCAATGGCCTCTTGGAATTTAAAAAGGAAACTATGTATAAAGAAGTGACTGGGAAAGCGTTCCACAGCCACTTTGAGGGTCGGGAATTGGAACCTTTGCAGAGTCAGTGCTGATAAAGTAATATGATATAGGCTCTAAACGGTAGCGAAAAGGAAATCTTAAGTCTTACCACGCGACATCTTTTGGGGCAGTACCCAGTCAAGACACCTATCAGAATCCTACGATATTACCTTATTAGCATTTCGAGCTGCTTTACCCTCCGATTACCCTACACCGGACGAGAAGACCGGAAAGACTTTACAACTTTGAATGTGGCGGTTTTTGCCCAGCGCTCATTTAAATTTAAATTTTGATACGGATAAAAATACCGAATAGTGATAGTCCTGGAACTATTTAAAAGAATATCATCACTCGATCGTTTTAGCCTTGGTGCATTGCTTACAAACAATGTTCCAAAAGTTTCACTGAATCTCCAAATAAGGAAGACTTGTGCTTTCAGTGCTTTCACACCTTTTCTTTGCTTGAAATACTTACCAAGCCGAGTATTCCAGCCCATAGTGCAGCCGTACGCAATGATGGGAATTTTTTTATATGATTTCTGCGGCCTCGATCGCCGTAGCCACCTGCCATTATAATTTGCCACTTATCGCAAACACCAATTTGTCTTAGAACACTTATTCACCTATGCGTATATAGTACGTTTATTTACGTAGGTATGTATGGATGTATGTATGTATGTATTTAAATGAAGATGCGACGGTACTTAAGCGTAAAATTCAAACTAACGTCAACCGAAAAGTAAAAGTACGACCCTTCGATTAATATTCACTTTCAATTTCTTCGTTATTTCGCCCAATAATCACACTAATCACAACCGTGCTTTCCCTAATCGTTGGCACTAAAAAAAGATAAAATATTTAACAAAACTAAAAATTATATAAATTTGGCAATTTTATTCGTTCGTTTCGATTACGCGCGATTCATTACTCTATATTTGTATTGACAATATTTATCGCACCGCCTTTTTTTACCCGCCCGTTTCCTGTACTATTCTGTTCTACGCAACATACGCCACCCAACAACAACAATGACTGAAATTTAATTAAAAATAAGAAGAAAAAAAAATCGCGTTTATTGTACTTTTTCGTAGCGCGTTCGTTTTTGGACTGTTACTTGTATGGCGGTTTTTTCCAGCCCACAGCCAGAGCTACAGGTGAATTACTGTGTGCCAACTGCCAATGAGCCAAAAAAATAATTACTAGAACCTGCAATAACTTTTATTGAGCAACAACATAGACTATTTGTACTCATGCATGGGAGAGGCTCTCTAAAAAGAAAAAGTTTTAGGCATTGCAAAATATGGGTTGGTTGACAGATTTACTAGGTGCCCACATGTACGTATGTACATAGGTACGTACATACTTAACATACTTCTTTAGAATTAAAGGGTGTTCTACTCTCAATAAAGAAAGCAAATATCCTGTCAAACCTTTGGTAACTTTATTCATAGATTCTGCCCCTCTCCTTGCTCCCGTATATAAGGATCGGAAAAGGCATTGCTGTATACAGCAAGACTCGCCGCTTGAGATAAAGTCCTCATACACATACAGGAGCTATTTTTGATAGACTGTCTAGTGCTAATTACGTATCCGTACGTAGTTTCTATCAGTTCCAGATTTTGAGAAAAACTTGGTCAAAGTGAACAAAAATCGCATTTTTGGCAAAATTTGGGTAGCTCTAGCGAAGAAACAAAATGTCATAGAACCTTTCACTTAGGCTTAAATTAAAACCTGAAATCGGGTCTTGTATGGCTTGAAGGTTTTAATAGCCCAGGAGATCTTCTTCTTGGAGAAAATTTCCTGTATGAAGGGTTTTCTTCCCCATCTCTGTACATATACCATTGAGTTTCTGCAGGCAACCCGGGCTGTGCGGGTGGCCCGGAGAGTACTTTCCTAACCCTGCTCCCCTCCAGTGCTAGTTCCACGCTGCTGGAGAAGTCTATACAAATTTTTTTTTTGCCTTCGTCGGAAATTTTTATAGTCCTTTAAAAATAACAATAATAATAATAATAATAATAATAATAATAATAATAGATTGGCATTTACACAAATGTTAGTGTTTCGCCGAGCTTCACCTCCGATTTGTGGCGTGCGCCTTGATGTTGTCACACAAATGGGGAGAGACCTACAGTTTTATGCCGACTTCGAATGGCGTTGTATTTTTATGAGAAGCTGTTTTTCATGGCAGAAATACACTCGGAGGTTAGCCATTCCTGCCGAGGGGCAAATGCTGTTAAGGAAAAACCTTTTTTCTTTATTTTTTTGCGGTATTGCTTTGACCAGAGCTTGAACCTAGGCCCTGCGGAGTGGAAGCGCGCACTGCTTACAACTACACCACAGCGGCCGCCGCTTTAGGTTCTGTTTATACGCTTTCCAGTGTTGCTCACTTTTGAAAGCCGTGGCTAAATTTAAGGGCCTGCTTGATAACTGGGCAAACTCGATTTAACGCCTTGCAGCATGTGGCCGTAAACCGGTCGGCCAGTTCCTCTGGTGTGAACGGAGTAAAGTTTAGGTTAGAAGTTTTTCTAGCTCTCGACTATATATGCAAGTACACACCTAAATGCCAGTCTGTATTTCTAATGTGTCTAATCTTATTTGGTGGTCCTTCTGTTCAGTCTGGCCTATGTCCAATTGGATATGTCGGTGATCGTAAAAGTAGTGCTCCTGAAGAACCGTCCAGTTCGGTATTAACTCCTCCACATCCTCCGAGACCCGAGTGACATCTAGTAGCTCGTGTCGATTTTTGGTGTTAAAGGTCGGGTTAATACGGAAGTCGAAAAGTGGCTCACTCCTTTCATTGATGTCGCTGCTTCCCCACGTTGCATTTGCATTTGCATCACCTGCGAAGGTGAGCGCTTCCTGTCCGTTCCCTATTAGCTTTTTGACATAAGGCGTCATTAGCCGTTGCCCTCCTAAGTATCGCGATTTACCCACGTATCGTCGTGAGGTCCCTTGGCTGAGTGCTATTAGAGTCATGTGCTTCTAGCCACGTGCATCATAGAAGTGGTTTCCTGTTTCTCCTAGGATTGGCAAGTGCTCTATTAGCCAGCAGTGGCAGTAAAAAAGTATGCAACAATTCTTACTTTGTACCTTATAAGGTGAAGGCTTCTTGGTGACAGATTAAAGCCCATCCTTTACCTACCGCACTTGCCCAGCCAATGCTGCACTTCCTTCTTCATTCACATATCATTATATAAATAGGCAATCATGTTTCCTTTACACCCCTTTTACGGCTAAACTATAATTCTAAGGTATAGACAATTATATATCATTAGAAAGGTATTTTGATGCTGATGTGCAGGCAATTTTTAAAATTTCAAATCAGTTTAAAATAGAGCGAAAAAATCAATTCAAAAGTCACACCAATACCAATGCACACATGTACATGGTTGGGGCGGAAATGCCCCCTAAATGTATGCTTTAATATTGATAGCGAATTAAAGAAACGTGCTAAGCAGCAGTTCAGGAATAAAATGTATGTATGTATGTTCATGAATAGATTAGACTCAAACAAGGAAGAAGGTAAAGTTGAGTATGGGGAAGAAGAAAGTGATAAATACAGAAATTAAAATAAAAGTAAAGAAACCTAGATATAAAGACAAAGAGGAAGGAAAATTTAAATACCTAACCTAATAACAACGGTGGGGGTGAATATGTAAATGAAGAAAAGAATGGACATATTTAGATCAGGATAAAGGAAAAGATAAAGATGAAGACCAAGACGACGAAGATGAAGATGAAGATGAAGATGAAGATGAAGATGAAGATGAATATGAAGATGAAGATGAAGATGAAGATGAAGATGAAGATGAAGATGAA